CGAGGCCAACAAGGCGTTGTAGCACATCGGGCGTCCCCCGGGACTCATTGTACAAGAAATAGCATATAAGGTGTAACAATTCAACCCATAACCCTGGATGAAAGCAGAATGCGAGGCGCATCGTACAGAGCGACTGACCATCACCGAGAACTCTATTCTTCATTCTTACTTCCCATACCTACTACTTACAGTCTGCATGGATCACATGTTCAGATGGCAAAATAAAACTTCCGGGCAGTTCTTCGACGGGGGACGGGAAGGAGGGAGAGGAATCACACTTTTGAAACCCTTGGATACCTCCCATCGAATGTCGGCCCATATAGAGAGCCATTTTCTGAGCTCACATGACTCGACAGGTTTTACCACGGCCCAACAAGTTCGCTCCAGGTTTACAAGAGTTCACAGGTTTCACCAGAGCGAGACTAGTAAACCAGAACCAGTGAAGCAGCTAAAATGCAAATGCCCAACCCCCCCCCTAGTCGCCGAACTGCACCAAACTTTCTGTTATTGAATTACTTGTATGCATTTCCCATCACAAATATCAACAACAACAGTAGCAACAATAACAACCGTAACAAAATAAAGTAACGTAACAAACAAATAGAGATCTGTATCAATCCTGTAAATACAAATCAAGCAGACCCATATTCCAGTTACCAGTACCGCATTGTGATGAGCATCCACATTGGGTCGAACTCGAAAGAACGGCCCTGAAAGTGGGGAACTGAAATCCGTTGGCGTGATCAAGAGCTCAGTCTACGAATAACCGCATTTTTGATTCAGGAACAGCCGCGTTTTTCCTTCAGCACTTCTAAGAAGGACAAAAGCGGAGAGATCTGCACAATCCAGGAGCCAAACGTTTGATCGAATCCCCCTCCCTCTACCAGACCACGCAATCCACTCCTTCAGAGCTGCTCGTCAGTACGATATTTATTTGGGAGGGAAAACAGTGACATACGCACTACTCTCTGGGCCTACAAAGTTACCAATAATCGCGCTACAATTTTGAACAGGCCACATCATTAGTTGGGTTTTTGGTCGAGTCCGTACGACCTCCCCCCCCTGGTTCCCCCCTGATCATCGAACTGTCGAGGGGTGGGGCTATACTGTGCACTTGAAATGGGAAAAACTGTGAGGGAAATGCGTCCCCCGTCTCTACCATTTCTTGGGTCTTCCCTAACTTTCTACCTTTTTTTCCGGAACTTCCCGGAAATTTCCCTACTTTAAACCAAAATTTTGCTGACGAGCGCGCTCGAGCGAGGGAGGAGGGAACATATAGTACACATGCAAACAAGAAAAACCACGAAAAGTCAGTAAACTTTAACAGAAGGTCAGAAAGAAAATGCGATTCCTCCACCCCACCCCCAATCTTTTATACATTATACAAAAGAAACGGGAGGAGAATAGCAAAGGACATCTTTCTTACCGTGTATTGCGCGCTGTGAAGTTCTCTTTTCTCGCTGATTGACGGTTGGAACGACGAAAGGTGCTCTCCTGTAGAGCGCGGCAACATTCGGTCTGCTGCAACTACAAACATCACGGTTAATGTAGCATTATTTATAACAAATTAATAAAAAGAGAATAACATTAGAGGTGGGGAAGTTATGTGAATACCCCGAAGTCTAACCCTACGGGTAACACCTGCGCTGCTATGCTGTGCATTGGGTTCCTACCACGTGTACGAGAGAAAAACCTCGACCGATCCATTTCGCGTTCATACTTTGTGTAACCCAAGCGATTCAACCATTCGCGATGATCCAAGGGGAGTGGCGCGCCAGTAAGTGACCGCGCTGCACTGCTAATCGTTAGACCGCTAAAAAAATCTATAAGGAACGTAATTCACAACTGTACCGGTAAAATGATTAGCGATGGCGCACGGTCAGCCACAGCTTCTACGGGCGACTGAATCGATAGGGTTAGCGACTCATCACGGCTCCCAGGAGTGGATGTTTAATGCATCTCCTCTCAGGAGAACTCTGTTTAAAAGCATCGACAACATCGACCTTTGTCTCTCGAAGGGACAGATCAGTACCAGCCTTTCCCTCGTCAGTTTTTGTTCTTCTCCTACAGTCCCATCACAGAACTCCACTCTCCTATTTTTTTGGACCCTTATAAACATAAATCACCCTTTCTGTTTTGAATGGAGCGCAGGTTTCTGAGGTTGCTGTAAACTGAGCATTGAGCTGCTTCCAAGCCACCAGTGGAGCAAATACTTTCTAAAGGAGAATAAATGGGAGAGGTAGCTGTGGACTAGTTGATAAAGAGGGTAAGGCGTGCCACTCCTGCTCGTTTGCGGGCTTCAGACGAAACAGTATTCGAGCCGGGCTCAAACACCGTAGTATTAGCCTTAGAGAATGCAGACGACTGAAAGAAAGTGACCTAATCTTATCCACTGGGCCCAGCAGAACTATGGTTACTCTGAAACAAACTTACCAACACTTTCCTGAGAAGAACTGGGAGATCTGTATCGCATTGAAAGTTCATCGTCCTATAAACAAATCAATATTAGCCCTTCACTTTAGAGAGTTGAAATAGATTATACCTCTCTGACTGAAGAACCAGTGGTTTCTGAATCGCTTTCATCACTGGTCTCACTAAAATAGTCATATTCACAGCTTGCTATCTCATCCTCAGCGTTTTCATTCAGACCAGATCCTGAAACGAAAATTTTCAAGAACCTACCAGAAGCATTATTTATTATTGATTGAATACCCGAACCTTGTGGAAACGGTAGGGAATCGAGTATGGGAGCAAATGCAAATAAGTTACAAGATTTCGGAACTGGGACAGAAACAGAAACAGATCTCAGAAATCGCGTGCGGATCACGAAAAAAGGCGCCATGAACGGGCTCTACTTAAAGCATATTTCACGACTGTAAGCCATATGTCGCTAGATTGTGAAGCAAAGGTAGAAGAAAATTAGGGACAGGGCAAGTCGTTTAAAAGACCTTCAATAGGGCCTCGCCCCGATTCAGTTGATACCAAAAAAGAGGGGTACATTTGTTGGGAATCGCTTGGAGACAAGAAAAGAGGGGTGAGGGAACACAGAGACGAGCAAAACAACAGATACCAAAGCAAGGCGGAGTCACTTGCGCGCAGGTAGGAGCCACTAAAGTCTTCTTTTGCGCCTTGATGCCCCTACTTTATAACTTTCTCATGCGACACTGAAAGAAGGTCGTCCACTGCAACCTTGAAATGTCCTTTGGAATTCTAAGACGCAGTGTTCTTTAAGATTTTGCTCACCCCAGAGCCTTGGAAGGCCTAATCGCACAACTTCTAACCTCACTAGCGTCGGATACATCTTCAGCAGATGAAATATATACTGTCTCGAAAATGCGTTGTCCGTTGCTCTGCAATAGTTACTTTAGTTTTTGCAACTAAAGACAACACCTACATCACGAGACTCACTTTTACAAAAGTGCTCTGCACTGGGAAAATCCTCCCATCGATCATCGACTGCTTCAAATTGTTGAACCTCAATATCATAATTCATAACCACATGGTTTCATAGGCTTACAGTCAAAGTACGGGCGTTTTATAGGAAAATCAGGCGCAGTTTATCGACGGGGGGGCATTTTGCTTTCCATAGATGTGTCGACCCATCTAGGTAGCCTTTTCTCGAGTTGACACGTTTTGGGATGGTGGCTAGACGATCTTGCTCCAGCTTCACAAGCGTTCACAAGTTTTACCAGAGTGAGATTTAAACCGGAACTAGGGAAGCAATGATAGTACAAAATGCCCCCGTCGACAAACAGCGCCGAAAAAACGCTGTTTACCCTTTATTGCTCTGCTTTACGAAGTCAGGGCTCCATTTAGTTCGAAATTAGTCTCTGGAGGTAGAATAAGCTCCTCGGCACAAAAATGATATCTATTTCTGAACATGGCGCGATTTGGCGTAAGGCTAAAACTAAGCTAAGTTGATGGTTGAGCTTGAGCTGGTGCCGAACGCTCGCCAAAACAGGAAAAATTGTTATATTCGTGACCAGGACCTTCAAACCTCTCCCCCATGAGTGGTTCATTTTACCGACCTCGAAAGCAGAAAGCTAAGAGGAAAATAGTGCCAACATATCGAGCGCGATATATCATGCCTATATGGAAGTAGTATGGACAGGAAGAACGAACCGTACCTCTGCTTATCCGCAATGTGGAATTCCAGCATCATGAATGCGCAGTACAGGACTAACTCAGATTCTCCTGAAATACTGTGGTAGCACAAACAGGTGACTAGAGTATTGCTCGTTGCGACAATGAGGATGTGTCAGGAGGGATCGGTTTGGCGCCGAGCCAAACTCATTCCGTTGTTGAATCGGGTGAGCGACAGTTGAACAACGACGATACGAACGATATCAGTTTTGTCGCTTGTACGCTTCAACAATTGGTTCGGAACCAGTTTGGCATAGCGCCAAGCCCTTCACTTGTGAACATGACCCATCCGCAAAGAAGGAGACTATACTACTTTACCTCTCCTGCAATATACTGGGCATTTTCTGCAACCATTAATTCTATAATAGTATAAAAGGTTAAGAATGTTTTTTTGTCTCCTCTACCAATGAAGTCTGCTATTTGACACAATACTATGAAAGCTATCACAAGGATCCTTTCAGCCCTTAACTTTTCCCTGAGCCTATGAAGCAAAAGAGCTACAAGAGAGCAGGAGCAGTCTACGCACTCCCAAGCGCCTTGCACTAGCCTTGGTGGGCGGGAAACTCATCCCTCCGGCTCACAATAGTTTCGCACTTTCTAGCTGTAACTGTTGTTCAGAACGGGAGCGGCGCCTAAGGCTTGAAAAAAGCCCTGCGCAAAATTGTGATAACCTCTTTCCAAGTACCTTTGCTCCAACTATCCCAGTATATTCGACAAAACATTCTGGGTATAATTAGAGCAGTAAAAATGACTCAGCTTTTTCGCTTCTTATGGTCTTCGCATCATTCCCTTCAATAAGCAGTTTCCGTTTTGAATCAGCAAAATTTAACAAGGAAATAATTTCAGAAGCCTCATCGAAATTTCAAAAAAAGATGCCAGCCACCACTCTTTAACCTTGGGTGCGATGTTACTCGAAAGGGTGCGATATTACCGAAACTGAGTCGGTGAAGTGTTTAAACAACAAACAAACCGATGATTTTAGAGAAGCAATGAAGAAGTTTAGCAAAGGTGTGACTCATTGCCGGCTTAGCAACTTCGAAGGCATCAAGGGCACCTTTTCGTGATGCGAACAGCATGCGAAGACCCGACGACGTCGATTGCTGGAATAAAACATCATCCTCATCAACAAAACACCGTACATGCTCTGGGAGGGCGTGGCTGCGCACATAAACAGGATACAGGATGCGTTGTTATGGGATGTATCTATCTGAACTGAGATAACTGTGACCCGGTTCTGTGGTGGGACGGAGAATGATTGCGAAATGTCAATGTTCCACCAAAACCAACCATAAAAAATAGCCGCTGCCGCATTCAAACAACTGCGCAACCATGCCCTCCCATCCCCTCCCTTAGCTACGCGATATCGATGAGAATAAAGTGATATGATTTGTGCTAGTTAACTCCACTGGATCCGCTATGAATCAGACTTTAGAATCGTAACTTAGTAAGGTGAATTCGGTGAACCGTAACAATAGAATACGCGTGTAGATCACGCTCACACAGCGCCAATTTGAAGTGCCGTTGGTGCGGGGCACCATTTAGCGCCCCCGGTGGGGATCGCGCAAT